AGGAGTTTGTCCAGCTGGCGAAGAGACTGGTCCGCGACCCGGCGTTGGGAGGAGAACTGGTGGCCAAGGGGAGGGAGTATGTGAGCACATCCCACTCGTGGCGGGTGGAAAGGGACACTTACCAGAGCCTCATCCGGACGCTCGAGGGGGACACAGGTGGGCAGGCCTGCTGACCAGGTGCCGCCCCCCTTTTTAATTCATCTGCGGGGCACCGGGGCCTGGGCCCCCTGTCGGGGCATTGAGACTAGAGGGGGGGCAGCGGAGCCCCGGAGCGGGGAACACGGCCGACTGCACCTGGGACGAGCGGACGCCTGCGAAAGGCCCGGCGTTTCCTCGGGGCCCGTCCGGCGATGCTGCTGGTTGGAAAATGCCGCTCGTTTGGAAGCCAGGCTCCGTCCCTGGCGGGGGGACACCCTAGAAGCTCGACTCCGCTGTACCTCGCGTCACCAGTTCATGTCTTCGCATCAACACGCACGTCTGTCCCGCACTTGGGGGAAGGGCCGCTTCTAAGTAAATAAAGTGCATCCCGAATAGCCAATCTTTGTTCCTAAGGAGCCAGAAACAGACCCGCCCACCCCGTCCCCGCCTTTAAAAGGAGATGCGGACACTCAAGCGGCTCCCGAAGCGGTTTAAACGCGGTCGCCGTGTTAGGGCCCAAGCAGAGGGGTGAAAAGACGCTTCCCTATCAACAGGCCGCTTGCTTTGCGTCCCCTGCGCCATTGACGCGATGTGGAGACACTTTGTAGCGTTTCCCCGGTTACAGTTTTTCCAGTGAGCCTTGTTCCTTCTCTGTAGGTGGCCAACGATACCTTAGACATAATTAAGGAAATAAAGTAGGACAAACAGCCGCTGAGCCCCGACCTGCCCGCCCACAGCGGGGGAGCTTCTCAGGACCGGGGCTGTGGGGCCGGAGAGAGGAGCCGGGGTTGGGTCCCGTCGGGAGGATGGGCTCGGAGAGGGGAGGCCGGTCACGAGGGCGAAGCCTGCGTTTGGGAGCCCGAGGCCCCGGGTGGGAGGCCAGGCGCCTCCAGGGAGCAGGGCTGCGACCGCGGGCCGTGTCTGCGCCTGTCCGAGCCTCCTCGCCGTCCGTGTCAAGCGGAGAGGACAGTGTGCCCCGGCTGAGCTGCGTCTGCCCCAGGTCTGAGACGACAGTGGCCGGGCTCCTCTCAGGCTCGCAGCGTGGCCGTCGGGGTGGAACCGCTCCCGCCGAGAGGCCCCTGCAGCGGGGGAAGCAATGCAGCCGCGTCCCCTTGCCTAAGAGCCGTGGTTACGTCTGACGTCCCCGGGCGTCTGTTCCCATCCCCTCGGCTGACGCGAAGTGTGGTCACCTCTGACGTCGGCGGGGCCGTCCCTGCGGACGGAGCCGGAGTGACTGTGAAACAACCGCATGGTCCCCACACCGCACAGCCCTCCCTCCAACAACAGGGGGGCTCAGGGACCTTTCAGATTTAGACGGTGTTGAGCTTTGCCCACAGACACAGACACTATATTTATCTCTACTATCTACCTATTTACCTATCCGTATACACACTACATTCTCTCTCCCTCTAATATATATAGCGTGTAAATATACTGGTTACATTATGATGAAGTAATATGTTACATATCACATGTATACAAGATATGTATCACTTATATGTGCAAGATATAGATAAATAGTATATTACTCACGGGGGAAGGGAAGGTTGATACAATACCCACCACGGGTGGCGGCCACAGTTACAGACCCGTGGCGGCTGCAGCTTGCAAGTGCGGGTGCCCAGCCTTGGGACCTCGCTGCCCCAACATCAGAAAAATATGACCAGCCCCAAATTAGTTTCTGTTGCCTGCACTCCACAACTCTGACGCAAGAACCAGACCCCAAACCATTCTTTTTTTTTTTAAAAGTTTGATTTTATTTCCTTAATTTTAAAAATCGTGGTAAAATATGCATAATACACACTTGATCGTGGAGCCGTTCGTGAGGCCGCGGCCCCGGGGCAGGAAATACAGACGCAGTGTCCTGGCGCCTTCACCACTCTGGGCCCGAGTCACTTCATCACCCCCCCAAAAAACTCTGTCCCCCTTAATCAATACGCCGCCTTCCTCCCCGCTCCCCGCAGCCCCCGGGCCTCCCGGTCTTTCCTCTCCGTGAACGGCCGGTTCTGGGTCCCGCGTGTGAGTGGAAAGATGCGACACTTGTCAGGAAGCCGCGTCACCCCGACGCTCGGCCGTCCAGCCCCAGCCCCGGGCCGACGCGCAGACTCACTGCTCTGCCTGCGCCCCGGGGACCCCGCCAGAGAAGCTGATTTTCACAGCCCGTCCCTCCCCGTAACCACCAGAAAATCTACTCCGAGGTCACTTTTGATGTGGAGTCCCCTTTTATTTTGAGAGATGTGACATTTTTTCAGGCAGTTGACGGCACCCGGGAGATCAGGACGCGTGGGTCGGGGCGCTGAGACCCGGGGAAGCCCTGGAGCCCACGCCGGGATTTCTGACCCCGGGCGAACCCGTGGGGTGTGCCACTGCCCTCTCTGGCGCCCAGACGAGGCGCCCGCATCTCGGGGACGGCAGCCCCGCGGGCCGGGGGACACCTCTGCTCCCACCGCCCGCAGTCTCTTTCCCGCGGCAGGCGATTCCAGCTGGGGCCCCGTCGCTCACGCCCGCGCCTCGCGCCCCGCCTTCCTTCTCTCCCCCCTCTCCGGGTAACTCTGGAGCCAGTGTGTGTCACGGGGCCATCCCGGGTTGGGGACCCTGCCACTGTCACTCTCCGGGGCCTCCGTTTCCCCACTGGTGCGGCTGAGGCTGTGGCCCCCTCGACCCGACCGAATGCAACGTCTTCCTGAGATCCCGCTCGCCGCCCAGCATCTCCCAGGGAGGAGGGACAAACTCAATGTGTAAAAGCAGCGCGGCCGGAGTGGCTCAGGGGTTGAGCGTCGATCCCGTGGACCTGGAGGTTGCCGGTTGGATTCCCGGTCAGGGCGCAGGCCCAGGTTTCGGCCTGACCCCCGTCGGGGGCCTGCAGGAGGCAGCCGATCAATGACTCCCATCACTGATGTTTTTCTCTCTCTCCCTTCCTCTCTCTCTAAAAATAAATAAATAAAAACATTATATATATATATAATTTTTTTTTTTAAGAAGAGCACTCCCCGGATAAGACAGGTCCTCGTCTTCGGCTCACTCCTTAGACTGAGAGGCAAGATTGCCGGGGACTTGAGGATCGCTGTCCGTCAGGTGGGTAAAAGCTGCCCACCCGGCGTCCCCGTTGTCAGAGCCGCTCTCCCTGGAGGAGCCGTCCCCCTCCAGCAAAAACAAAACAAAAGGAACCGCCAAACAGTGTCTCTTTCATCCAGCAGAACAACGGCTTAATTGCCGGAGCCCTTTAGTCACCAGCCGCCTGGGTGAGTTCGCTAATGAAATGTTTCATGCCGTTTGGCTCCTTTGAGGGGAGACAAGAGGAAAGCTCCCCCCAGCCTATAAATCAAGTGAAATCACATCCATCCCTTTCGGAGGGAACCGTCTGCGTCCTCTGCGGGGCGTATTATCTGTGGGAAACAGATGCGGCCGGAGGGAAGAAATGACAGGGCCCTCCGAGCACATTTAATGAAGTGGTTCCAAATATTGTGTTGAAATAAATGAAGTGATTAATGCTCGGGCTGGTTTCTGGGCTTCTCTCTGCAACAATAAGCACAGTGCGGGCGCCGGGCACCGGGCGGGCACCAAGNCGGGAGGTGCCGCTCTAACGCATCGCGCTCCGGGCAACAACGGGCAGCCGCAGTCGCCGTATTTAATATCCGTAATTCTCTGAGTCCCGGAACTTGGAAGGAAGGGGAGGGGGGGGAGGGAGAATTACAGTCATTTCCAGTCTAAGCTTTTGCTTCGATTTCGTCAGCCAGCTGAAGACGGGCCCTGGGGCCTGTTGCCAAGGGACTCGCGTTGCTCGGGAGGCAGTGGCTCCCGCTGTGGCCGGCTCTGGTCGTTTTGTGACTGCCCAGCCCGGTGACCCTTTCAAGGAAGCCCTGGGGGCGGGGTCTGGGCTGTGGCAGGTGGAGCGAGGTTTTCCCGCTCACCGCTAGGGGGCAGCACGCGGCTGGGCTTGGCCCGCGGGATCTTTGTTCAGGAATTTTGATTCTTGAGCGAGGGACGCCTGGAGGCCAGGGCCGCGGGAGGTCACCGGGGCCCGAGAAGCTGGTCCTAAACCCAGAGAAGGGCCGGTGACTCTGCGTCCAGGCCTCGCTGTGGACCTCAGGGCCGTCTGCAGGCCCTGCAAAGAGCCGGGCAGGGAACCCGAGCATGGCCCCAGCTGCACGTGTGCAAACGTGCAGGTCCAGCTGCAGCGGGCACCGCGGGGTGGGCTTTGAAGAGGGACCCTTCTCTTCTCGGGGATCCCTGGGTGAGGCAGCTAAGTGGCTGCGTGTAGGCTCCATACGAGACAGAGCGAGCGTGGTCCTCCTGGCTCATTTGTCCTTGGAGGCCGCAGGGCCCGGGGCCAGCAGGCGTCTGCCCTGGCCCAGCCGCTCAGCACCCTCTGCACCCCTCTGCACCCCTCTGCACCCCTCTACAGCCCTCAGCCTGGGTCCTCCCGACAGCGTCACGCCCAGCGGCTCCCAGGTGCCCCGGGCGACGCGGGCAGAGCAAAGGGCCGCCCTCAACCATCCCCGGCAGGCCCAGGGCTGCTTAACGCAGAACAGCTGAGGCCCAGGCCTGCAGGCCGTGCTGTTCACCAAGGAGAAGGTTCCTTGCCCGGCTCTGACCTTGGGAAGCCGCCCAGCGCACGCAGAGGATGCCAAACGCTGAGAGGGCGGCTATCGATCAGCTCTGGAGGGAGGCCCGACGACAGGGAGTTGTAAATGCCTATTAATGGCCTGAGACGGGACGTTCGCTGGGGCTTCTGGCATGAAGATAAAGGGCACCGGGCGAAGTGAAAGAATTAGGATATAAAACCTTCGCATTGGGAGCGGGCTCCCAGATCCGGCCGCACATCAGATTTGGGGGGGGGG